GGGGGGCAGGAAAAAAAAACTACATCCAATACAAGGATTATAGTTCATGATCCCCAAATCACTCTACTGATACTACTGAATATTACTTTTTCTAAGTAATTAAAATCTAGAAAAGAATGAAGATTTGGACAATCTAGAAGACTTTCTCCTAACTTTAAGTGAAACTGTTCTGTTTGTATGTTGGGATTACAAATACAGATACAAGCTTCTGGCATATATACCCTAGATCAGAGTTGTTGGCTGTGGACATAGGATGGTACTATCTACGTAATACTTTGCCCAAACAGGAAGGGAATGAAAATGTGTCTGTTATTTTCCTTGTTTAGACCATTTTTTAAGAGTTAGCAACTTTTGAAGATGTTGTGCTAATGAGCTAGACTATTTACTTTTGATATATCATTTGGGGTAAGGCAAGGATGACTATGTATGAGATTAATAAAGACTATGTTTGCTGACTCATGTAAAGACTATACAAGTGGCAAGAAGAGCAATCAATCCACATGCTATTATTGGTAGCTCTTTACATCTTATGTTGTTGACATCAGCCTTAAGCTTTCAGGCTCCCCACTACCTGGTCCCAGCCTTCCTTCCTTTTCATTTTTCCCAAAAGAACATTCATCTGTAGCCAGAAGCCTCAAACATATATTCAGTTTTATTTTTGCACTGTTGTACCAAATGTCATATAAGCTTTTATTCCTAGATAACATTCAACATGAACTACTTATACGGATCTCTCAGTCTTAATCATCTTTCCACACATGAAACACCTATGAAACCTCAGATCAGAGCCGACCTTTTTTGTTAAGGCTTTCTCTGACCGTTGTAGACATTGTGATATCTCCTTCCTTATAACTCAAAATAGTATTACCACGACTCATTAGCCACTATATCCTGTAAGTTCTCTTTTAGTATATGGTTATTTAGTATACTAAAAGTTATATTTAATATACAGTTTCTGTGCATTTATATTGTATTTTCACAAGAAAATTAGAAACTCATCAAGAGATAGACAAATATGGCTTTCAGTATTTGGGACTATTTTTTATACAAAATGGGTATTTAGGATATATTTGACAAATGAATGTATGAACAGAGTTTGCTACCAACCATAAACTAGAACTGAATATAACAAGTGTTATCTGATCTTTGCATCTCTAGTTTATCACTCGTTTTCTAAGGTGCATTTCTACTAGCACGTTACTTTTAAGATAATACATAATTAGATAATATGCATTTCTATAGAAACAAAAAGTGAGTAAAATGCACAATTTCCCCAGAAAATTAACCTCATGGTACTATGGTTTGCAACCCACAGACCAGAATTGAGTTCATTGGTGATACTTGTTTTCTGTAAATAATTGTGCTGTGTTTACAATCTTTAACAAAATTGCCCTAATAAAGGACAGAAAACCACAGGCATTTTACTGGATAATGACCCTGTGATTACTGAAATGAATGGTAGATTTCATGGATACTAAAGCATAAATATACTTTTAAGCAATAAAGGGAAATTATAACATCTTGTGCAAAATGTCATATAAGCTTTTAGCTCTAAATGACATTCAGCATGACCTATTTAATCATAACAGTAAAAAAACTATTCCACTCTTCCAGTCATTTATTTTTAAAAAGCAGTAGATGGAACTTCTTGGTTTTTTTTGTTTTGTTTTGTTTTGTTTTTGTTTTTGTTTTTGTTTTTTTTTTTGAGACAGAGCCTTATTGTGTCGCCCAGGCTGGAGTGCAGTGGCACCGTATCAACTCACTGCAGCCTCTGCCTCCCAAGTTCAAGTGATTCTCCT